AGAACTTCGTAGTTCTCGATTGGGTGCACTACACTGTTCTGTTTCTTCCTTTTGCTCAAACTGCATGACACGCAATTACATATCGCCTCCTCTGTGTTCACTTTCGCGTTTTTACGAGGATAGTTTCTTTCAATGAGGGGTCCCGACCTCTTATTCGAAGAGTTTATTGCGAAATCATTTCTTCCATGAATAAATTCTTATTTAATTCACAATGCTCCTGTAACTTTGCAATGTCAGCATCCTTACGCTACAATTTCACTCAAAATAATTATTAAAAATTGTAGTTTGCTCATACTGGCTAATTCATTTTCCAGTTCGATCATTAAATTTTCTAGTTTTGTTTTAATCTAAAATAACAAACAAATTAAATTTATGGAAAGGGTAGTGATATTATGTACACATACTTACCGAAATACGACTATCACTACTTGCTTGCAGCGCGTTCGATTTCTATAAAAATGATATAATCTATTTGTTACATTCGTTGTTAATTTCGTTGTATTACATTAAACACTATAATAGAAATACCTTTTACTTTTCCAACTCTACTTGACATCCTGTTAATTAAATTGTGCCATTTTTTGGTTTAGGAAGTTTACAAATTTTTCAAATTTACGGTTTTTCTCAATTAAAGTGTTTTTTAAATTTTCATTCGCAGTGTTTGAACTTTCGTTCTCTGTTCTTTTTCCTGTTTTCCTCTTTCATGGAATTCAATACTATTTTCTAATTGTTTAATATGATTTTCTCTGGAAAGCAATCCTTCCAGGAATAAATGTTTGTTTAAAGCATAAAACTTTTTTAGCTTTTCAAGTGCTTCCTCACACCCTTATATGGGTACTTCCCACAGCCTAAGTACCCGCACTCGCCACACTCCCACTTTATGGTGGTGGGTGGTGATTATTTGCTGGTTTAATAGATCTGAAGATCGCCAGTACACTCCCCTGCCCCGCCGAAGTTTTCGCGCAGAGCGAACAGGCGGACGCCTCCCATTGTGGGAACTTCAAAGTTAGTTGATGGTTCATCTCTCTGAGAAATACAAGAGTACTCTTCTTTATGTAAAGAAACTTTACTGAAATGGCTGTTGGCCGGGCTTGACTACAATATATGTATACATAAGGCAGGACGGATTTTCCGTCTCCCTTTCCCGCGATAACGAAAATAAGGTGAACAATCACCGTCTGCTATCAGATTGTGGTGAATTGGTCTCCGTGTTCCCACTAAGTAAACTCTTTAATCAGTAGTTTATCATATTCAATATAACTTACAATGTAATATATTAACAAAGTAATAATGTATAGTTCGCACGTGTTCTTTCTATGGGCTTTGCTATACTATTGCATGTTATATTATTAAGTGAGACAAAGGTGCGACGCGCCCTTCCAGCAGTTTCGCTCGTATTCATCGTAACGAGCACATAGCAACCAATGCTACTTACTATCCTACTGAAAACGTAGGTACCTTTCTTATCCCAGTTAGGTTGTCACGAAATTGTGCTGTCTACTACTCCTTTCCTTCGCAATGCACTTTCACGCCGAGGGGGACTACAACTTCGCCGGAACCGATTTCCCTGATTTATGGCGTTGTAGCAGGTTTTCCTCTGGACCTCACTTACCTTCTCTAAGTGTTTTCCAGGCGTAGGCTTGGATGGGCCCTTAGGAGAACTAGAGTTTACTACGCTTCACGGAAATGCTATTGTGATGCAATATTTTATATGATTCATATCATGTAGTTGGTCACATTCATTATGATTTGGAACTGTATTTTCAATGATTGGAAAATTTATTCATTGATTTCCTTTATTTTCCGGATTATTAATAAATCAAGAGTGATTAAAATTTCAATTTTTTTTATATTTATTAGTGATAATTTTACATTTTTTCCTCAACGTTTTGTAGGATCAATAGTGTAAGCGAAAATACGCTGAATTCGAACGTAACGTGTTTGTCAGATTACCAACCATCCAAACCACCAGCATAGTAAACAGGACGAAACGCATTATCGTCATACCCTCGCTGCAACAAAGAGTTCTGGGCTCTTTCCCATCCCACACTGGGCCATCCTGCAGCGATACCTGTTCTAAGACATCAACTGATCGCTTCCCTATGCACTGATCCCTTTTCAGAGTCCTAGAACGAACAGGATTCTGATGCTCACTTGTGCACTTTCTGCAGACTACTTCGTAGTTCTCGATGGGGTGCACTACACTGTTCTGTTTCTTCCTTTTGCTCAAACTGCATGACACGCAACCACATATCGCCTTCTGTTTTCACTTTCGCGTTTTTACAAGAATAGTTTCTTTCCCGTCCTCTCGTTCGAAGAGTTTATTGCGAAAGCATTTCTTCCATGAATAAATTCTTATTTAATTCACAATGCTCCTGTAATTTTGCAATGTCAGCATCCTTACGCTACAATTTCATTCAAAATAATTATTAAAAATTGTATTGTTTGCTTATACTGACTAATTCATTTTCCAGTTCGATCATTAAATTTTCTAGTTTTGTTTTAAACTAAAATAACAAATAAATTAAATTTATGGAAAGGATATTGTGTACACAACTTGTACCGTAATACAACTGTCACCACTTGCTTGCAGCGCGTTCGATTTCTATAAAAATAATAGAGTCTATTTGTTACTTTCGTTATTAATTTCGTTGTATTACATTAAACTCTGTAATAGAAATAGCTTTTGCTTCTCCAATTTCCCTTGTAGATACTCCGTCAATTGTAAGCTTTCAAATTTTGCCATATTTTGGTTTAGGAAGTTTCCAAATTTTTCAAATTTATGGTTTTCCTCAATTAGAACTGTTTTTTAAATTTTCATTCGCAGTCTTTGAACCTTTGGTCTCTGTTTTTTTTTGTTCCCTGTTTTCCTTGTTCATGCTCTTTAATGCGATTTTTTAATTCTTGTAACTTTCTTGGGGAACAATTCCTTCCAAGAATAAGTGCTTGTTTAAAGCCTAAAGCTTTTTGAGCTTTTCAAGCTCTGCATTCTTAGAATTTTACGCTAGAATTTTATTCAAAATAATTATTGAATTTTTAATACCTATAAGTTTGTATGAATTTATTATATTAAATATTATATTATTTATTATATCAAGTGCCATCCGATATTGATCTGTTCTCTTGTTGACAAAAATGCCGCTTCCAGCTCATTCATCGCGTTTTCTACTTTACTATTANTAACGTGTTTGTCAAATTATCTACCATCTACACCACCAGCATAGTAAACAGGACGAAACGCATTATCGTCATACCTTCGCTGCAACAAAGAGTTCTGGGCTCTTTCCCAGAACTTGCCCATCCCACACTGGGCCATCCTATAGCGATATCTGTTCTAAGATATCCACTGATCGCTTTCCTATGCGCTGATCACTTTTCAGAGTCCTAGAAGGAACAGGTTTCTGATGATCATTATTGTGCACTTTCTGCGGAACTTCGTGGTTCTCGACTAATTTTTCATTTTCATTTCTTAATAATTTGTTTTCTCTTTTTTCTTTCCGTACTTCTACTCCGTATGCTTTCAAGCGAATTTTGAGTTCTTGGACATGTCGTTCTTTATAATTCCTCTCACGAATAATTGGTTGCTTAAATTGCAAAGCTTTTCCAGCATAGCATAAACGCTAAAATTTTCTTCCAAATAATTATTGAATTGTACGGAAGGAAACATACCTGTATGTTTGTATGAATTATTATCTGCCATCTGATATTATTCTAATTTTGTTTTATCATTGATGATAATTCTTTTTCAATGTTATTCATCGCGTCTTGTAATAAATGTGTTTTGCGAGATGATACACCACCTTTACCTTCGCCGAAATTTCCCCGCACAGCAGGCAGACGAACGGCTTCCGGTGTGAGAACATTAACATGATTTGATTCGCCATCTTTCAGAAATTTTATATGCAAAACACTTGCCCACGAAATTTTACTGAAATGGCTGTTGGCTGAGCTTGACTAGAATATATGTATACATGAGGGACGGATCTTCCGTCTCCTTTCTACGCGATAACAAAAATAAGGTGAACGTCGTCTGCTACCAGATTGTGGTGAATTGGATTCATTATGGAATTCTGTAATAAATATTTCTTTAATAAATAGTTTATCATATAAATAAATAGTTAATACATCTGTAATAAATAGTTTATCATATTCAATATAACCTACAATGTAATTAACAAAGTAATAATGTATAATTCACACGTGTTCTTTCTATGGGCTTTGCTATACTAGTGAGGCGCGACTCGCACGGTGTCCCCTTCCAGTAGTTTTGCTCGTATCCATAATGTCGAGCACATAGCAACCGATGCTACTTACTATCCTACAAAAAACGTGGGTACCTTTTTATCCCAATTAGGTTGTCACGAAATTGTGCAGCCTACTACTCCTTTCGTTCTTAACAAAATTTCGGCCGTTAGATATTTCCCTGATTTATGGCGTTGTAGCAGGGATTCCTCTGGACCTCACTTACTTTCTCTAAGTGTTTTCCAGACGTAGGTCTGGGTGGGCCCTTAGGAGACCTAGAGTTTACTACGCTTCACGGAAATGCTATTGTGATGCTATATTTTATATGATTCATATCATGTAGTTGGTCACATTCATTATGATTTGCAACTGTATTTTCAATGATTGGAAAATTTATTCATTGATTTCCTTTATTTTCCGGATTATTAATAAATCAAGAGTGATTAAAATTTCAATTTTTTTATATTTATTGGTGATAATTTTACATTTTTTCCTCAACATTTTGTAGGATTAATAGTGTAAGTGAAAACACGCTGAATTTGAACGTAACGTGTTTGTCGGATTACCAACCGTCCGTTTTCGATAAAATTTTTTTGAAAGCAGCTGTTACCTATTTTGCATTTGTGGCATCTGTTATATCCATATTTTCTGTTAGCAAGTCCTTTCACAAATGTCACCGACAATGGTGATTCGCACTCGCCGCACAGCCACTTTTTTGTGAGGGAAGGGTGGTGATTTTTAATGTGTTTGTGCAATGACTTCCTACATTCGGTCATTTTAAACGGACATTCGCCCCCGAATGTCACCCAAATCGTCAGTTAAATCATTGCTTGAAGCATCACATCACTCACATCAGGCATCCACAATTTCATAAAATCCGACGCTGTGGACGTTTGCAATGATCCCTCATGTTCACCGACTTTCTCAACAAGTTCATCGGTCATTTCGCATTATTTTTATTACTCTATACGGTCCAAGAAACTTTTATTCGCTAGCTTTAGTCCTAGTCCTTGCTGCATTTGTTTAACAGCTACTAAATCTCCTTCTCTATATTCCCTTGCTTCTTTTCTCTTCTTATTAAAATTACGTCGATTTTCATCTTGTATTAACTTCCTTACATGAAGATCATCCTTCAGACGAGCACGCGTTCTAAATAGCAACTGAAAAGGCATTATTCCAATGCTCCAATGAAACGACCTCCACGATACTCGAAAGCATAAATCTCTCTTCCGCTTGGTTAAAGAAAACGCGCGACAGACCTATTATAGTTTTAAAGAGAACACTCAGTAAATGTATTCTAAATTTTCCAAGTGTCCTGACAATAACCAGCACTTCTAACTCATAACTATTATAATTTTGTTCGGCGGACGTCCTGCCACTATCATAGTAAACAGGACGAAACGTATTATCGTCATATCCTCGCTGCAACAAAATCGCACTGAAACCAAACATGCACGCGTTTTTATATAACTCAGTTTCTGCATTCACACGATGTATGAGTAGAAATTCTAAGAACGCATTTCTTTCTTTCTCGCTAGATACGAAAATTGTGTTCGCTTTCAACAAGTTTGTCAAGGGTCGCGCAGTTTTAGAATAAGACGTCTGCCACGTCTTCCAGAAGGAGTGCCGCCTGCCTTCGTTCTCCAGTCCGTGTACCCTCCTCGATCCTACTCTTATCCCGATACCCTAACTTGGTTTATAAACGTCTGAATCAGGCCGTGGTCCTTAACTGCGACAAAATAAACAGTACCTTAATTTAATTTTCTGAGAAATATTGTGACCGAGTGTTAACAGTGCCGCTCGTTTGTCGGCGTCAAACGACTCTCTCGTCTATCCAGTAGAAGGGATCACGCGGGGTTTTAAATACTTACCGATGAACTTAGGAGCCGACATATCTGGTGATAACAATTCTTATTGTTTGACGGATTTCATCTGAACATATGGAAATAGAAATCATTCATTTAAATGTAATTATTCTCTCGAGATAAAAAAAAAATCTGCGGATCGTATGAATGATCGATTGAATGCGATGAATTATAAGATATGTATGTCAGTTAATGAAATGAAAACTGTATCTAATGTCCGTAATTTGTGACTGGACCGCAGTAATTAATTATTTTTAATTTTTTTAAAATTTAAGTTAATTTATATATATCTAATTGATTAATATAGCTTCAATTAATTAATGTTATTTTAATTTTAATTCTTCGAATTTAAATTACTTTTAATTTTAAGCGGGTAATGATAGAGCTTGTGCAGCGTTCAGAGTAGAAAGGAGCGAAGTATGAAAAAGGTTCTTCCTCTTGAAGAGGAATTTCTCGTGAAGAGGATTACGAGTTTTGCTATAATTGTAAACAAATTGTAATAGTATTGTAAATATTTTTTACAATTACTTTAAATTATGTTAATGTGGACTCGATTAGATTCGTTAATGAAGCTTCTTTTTTTCGATGTACATTCTCTCGATATCGCAAAATTTAAAACTATAAAAGAAGAAAAAAATAGAAGAAAGAAGAGGAATATCCGTAATCACTGTTACGACTTGAGAGATTTCTGGTTTTCGTAGTGCAGTATATAAACATTCGCCGCATAAATCATCGGCAATGACACCTTCTCCTTATTACTTGCACTTCAAAGAAGAAAACAGCAGAAAGGCAAAGGGCACAATAGAATTGTATAAAGATTGATGAAGAAACTAAAAAAAGATCAAGCTCAAAGGCAGGATCAATATGAAGAAACACTCATCCCCTTTTTTTTAAAATCTTTGGAGATGCGATGAACACGCAAGATCATCGAATTCATAAGGAAAAAAGCATCATGACTCTGTAAGAAGGAAATTAGCAGTTAGTTTAAGAATGGCCGCAGGGCTTGAAGTAATACAAATAAATTTGCATGGGTGTAAGTTGGCACAAGAGCATGCGTACTAATACGTTTGTGAATCTCAGATATAGATAATTTTTGAGACTAACAAACCTCTCTTAAATTGGATTAAGAATGATAAAGATGATGTCTCACCGTGAATTACCAAGCTTAATGGAAAACATTTTATTCACGACTCTGTCGGGGAGAGTGGGTTCTTGTTGAAATAGAAAATAGTGTTATAATTGACAGCTACTCTCCCTATATAAGAATATAAGAGTAGATGAATTCGTTAATTATCCCGATGATCTAGAAGAAAGAACAGAGAAAAGATGTACGTAGTGAACATATGTTAGACCATATGTACCGGAGCCAATATTTTCTCTATTTGGGTTGATAATTACCATGCCTTTCGTAAGAATGGTGTTAAATCATTTTTGGACATATTAGTCTTTCGACAATAAAAATGAGATTTTGCATTGTAAATATATATTTCAAAAAGTTAGCCTAGCGCGGTAGTTTAGAAGGACGACTGCAGCCTACAAGACCGTCAGCATGAATGAATATTATTGAAATTCTAAATTCATTATTGCAAGATTGGACAAAACCGATGAATTTCCTTACAGAATCCAGACAGCGTTAGAAAAAGCATATGAAGAATCTAAATTCATATATAATAATGAATCTGAATTCATTATTGCAAGGCTTGGACGAAACAGATGAATTTCCTTACAAAATCCAGACGAACCCGAAAGAGTATATGGAGATATACTTTCAAAAAACCTGTTACTGAGAAGTAATAAAAGAAAGAATTATTGGCGAACTGATTAGATAGCTAGAAGGTCAGGAAGGCTTTGAGAAGAAAGGCTGAGACAGCCTGAAGCAGCAACAAAGCTAGTACCTTGAGTCTTCAGAAAGAATAAAAGACAGTTAAAAATTCCTGAATTTTGGAAATCACCAGGTAGTGTCATCTACACAAGTGTGTCTTCTCTTCATGTTCTACTTGTTTTTTCTTATTCTCGTTTCCACGATCTTGTTTATAACTTGGCAAAGGTTTTAAAGTGTGTCCATATTTCAGGAGATTGTATTATATTTCCAGAACGATGAACAATTCACATCTCAACCACCCATTCTAGAATTCAGGACAATAATAGAAAAACTAGATGCTATGCAAATTGATTGCAGCCAAGATACTCCAGGATAATCGGCAAACATATCCATATGTAGGAAATGTAGTGAAATATAACAAACTTCTATGGGGAAAAAACGAATGGTTTATTTAATGAAATAATGTGTGATACAATGAGGTATTCACGCATCACGGACTGGCAAAGAACATGGCATGGTCCCGTCCGTGACTAAAGAAAAATAGTGGGAAGAAGACAGAAAACAGATGACAATCGTTGCCTCTCACAAAGTCATATGCAGTGGGCTTACACTGCTGGATGTCGATCAAGTCGTTGTATTTCAACAATAGCAAAATATGACACATATATTTTCTATTATGTTCACGTAGAAACGTCGTGACATCGGAGATAGATAAATAACATCTCTCGGAGCTGTTCAGATCAATGACTTCTTAGATCTCTTTATAGTAAATAGTAATTAGTTTCTTACGCTCTTTAGAATATACTCAGTATTATTCTCTAACTGAAAAAATGACATGTAATTCATAATGCGATGATTACACTCTTACATCATTACGTCATTATTTGCCATGTGCTTGCAACAACATGGACGACACTCGTGTAACGACATTACGATTATCGGTAAACACAACAGACGAGGTATACATCTGCGAATGTGTTTTTCTGTCACTAGGACTCACGTCCTCCTAGGACCCTTATTTTCGCGTCGTACCGATTCGAAAGTTTTGCACCATAGCGCGACCAGTGATGGAAATTAAAATCAAAAAGTATGAAATGTTGCTGCATCTGCTCCGAAAATTATTTGTTAAATAGAATTATCGATTTCTGTAATGATGTTGAATGAACAGCGATGAATGGGAATTAAAATCAAACAGTATGAAATGTTGCTGCATCTGGTCCGAAAATTATTTGTTAAATAGAATATCGATTTCTGTAATGATGTTGAATGACCAGCGATGAATGACAAAAATCAAAAGCTATAAAACAAGTGTCGCCTCTTATTTTGCTAGTTTAACCATTTTATCGAGTTTTATTCTGATCAACAGAATAATAACAGAAATGTGGCAACTACATATGTCAGATTTTTAAGTTTTTGACAAATCCTAACACTTGTTTGTTAATTACTCGATTATTCAAATGTCGTAGAATCTGTCCAAGCTCAATCAAAATCGTTCGATTCGATCAGATTCTGAAGTATCGACTGCTCGCGTGTGAATAATTTGAGATGAATAAAATTACGTTTGAAGAAATGATTTGTACTTCTGTAGCTTCAGATGAAATCCCTCTAACAACTAGAATTGTTATGCAACGTGGGTTACGGTGTATTAATTTAGTTTAATTAAATTTTTGATTGTAATAACTTTTTAACTATTCGGTTTAGAACACAAATGTGCCTAAAAATGACACAACAGTGCCTTGAAATGACTTACCCACACGTCATGTTCAATTGAGAATCCTACCCTCCTCCTCTCCGGCCTAAACCTACCGATTGTTTCCCAGAAACCCGTCAGATTGCCATTTTCCTCCACTGCCCTCCATTCTTTCTCTCTTACTTTCTTGTCAACGTACAATTTGCTGAGTTTAGTTCTTGCTTCAACCGACTTGACTCTCTCTTCTTCTCCTCTGGTTTTTGTGAACTTCTTAAGCAAATCGCCTTATTTGTACAGGGAGGGAGGGAGGATGCCTCTGATGTGGTTTGATAAATGAAAGATTGATGATTGATTGATGGAAATGAAAAGGGTCCAAGCGAGTGTCTTGCTCTCTGTGTTCATTCAATTTACGGAAGTCTATAACGATTCTCTATTTTTGTTTTCTTGTCCCGTCGATTTTTTTGGGTGCAAACTGGAGCGTTAAACGGTGAATCGGATGGTTCTATTATACCTTTTCCTAACACTTCGTTCATTTGTTTATGGACTTCTTGTTTATGGCATTCGGAAAATTTGTAAGATTTAATGTTAATAGGTTTGTCAGTTTTCAAAGTGATTTCATGTTCAGTTAATTGTGTGCAAAGTAATGGATCTTGATCTAAAGTAAAGACATCGTGATAGCTACTAGATAATTTTGAGTATTGGCTCTTCATAGCTCGGCTCGATATGATCTTAGTTTTGAAATGAGTTCTTGAACGCGTGTGGGGTTCGATTTGTTAGTGTCGATTTCATAATTTGTATTGATGTTTTGCTGACCAATATTGAAGAAATGAATGCGAGTAACCTCATCTCCTAGCTTTTGGACCTGTATGACCCTGGCTCCTGGTTTGAGTTCTAGTTGAACCGGTGCAGTCTGTAATGGCAGTTCTTGGTTATCAAGTAATAATGAATTATTGTTAATTTGGTATTGAAGGAAGGAGGTCCGATACTTCGATCAAAGGAAAGTCTAAAGGTATCACAAGGAAGGTGTGATTTTTGTTAGAGAAATTGAATTGAGTGGTTCTGTTTAAATCGTGTCTGCCATTGCCTAATAGTGTAGGAATCCCGACTTGAGATCTCAATTTGTAGGAATCCCGGACGAGACCCCAATTGGTAGTAATTTTGGTATAAAAGATAGTTGTTTAATAAAGTTAAAAATAAGAAATTTCGTTTAATGGTGATTTGAAATTAAGTTTAACACTATTTTCTTTTAATCGCTACGTTTACACTCTATCTTTGCTCACTCACTTCGACTCACAAATCGCTGTATTCTCGCTCTCACTGTATTCTCGCTCGCAACTCACTCTGTTCTTTGCTCGAAACTCACTCTATTCCAGCTGAATGCTCAAAACTCACTGCCTTCTTCCTCATCTGCACAAAATTAGTCATTCATATACACAGGTACTCAAACGCAATCTATACCCTTCAAATCTTAAATGTTGGGCCTGGAGGGTTAGCCATAAACAATCTTACGTCCTAGACCTAACTTTCTCCCTTCGCGAGGCATCTGGCTACAACTGCAGAAAGTGCTGGGCCCATTCCCAGAATTTGCCTATCCCACACTGGGCCATCCTGCGATATCTGTTCTAAGATATCCACTGATCGCTTTACTATGCGCTGATCACTTTTCAGAGTCCTAGAAGGAACAGGTTTCTGATGATCACTATTGTGCACTTTCTGCGGAACTTCTCGACTAACTTTTCATTTTCATTTCTCAATAATTTGTTTTCTCTTTTTTCTTTCCGTACTTCTGCTTCGTATTCTTTCAAGCGAATTTTGAGTTCTTCGACATGTCGTTTTTGGGGATGTTAGTGCAGGATAATGATCGTAAGACTCGTATTATCGATTAACACTTTTATTGGCGATTAGGCGCGGAGGCTATCTTTGTTCGCGGCGTATCGCAGAGTTTCTATCGCATTCCCTGAACGTCTGATTGACTGCTCGACTTGTTCTTATCTGTTCCGAATGGCTGACCGAATTTTTCTATCTTATCGAAACTTTTTCGCTCCAAGGAAAACTCGGTCCCCGTCTCGGACATCCCTAATTGACTAAACCCTTACTGCGTTTTGACCAATTAGGTTGTCACGAAATTGCGCCGCCCACTCCTTGAAGGAACAGGATTCTGATGCTCACTATTGATGCTCACTTTCTGCAGAACTTCGTAGTTCTCGATGGGGTGCACTACACTGTTCTGTTACTTTCTTTTGCTCAAACTGCATGACACACAACTACATTTCGCCTTCTCTGTTTTCACTTTCGCGTTTCACAAGGATAGTTTCTTTCGATGAGGGGTCCCGACCTCTTATTCGAAGAGTTTATTGCGACATCATTTCTTCCATGAATAAATTCTTATTTAATTCACAATGCTCCTGTAATTTTGCAATGTCAGCATCCTTACGCTACAATTTCATTCAAAATAATTATTAAAAATTGTATTGTTTGCTTATACTGGCTAATTCATTTTCCAGTTCGATCATTAAATTTTCTAGTTTTTTCTTAATCTAAAATAACAAACAAATTAAATTTATGGAAAGGGTAGTGATATTATGTACACATACTTACCGAAATACGACTATCACTACTTGCTTGCAGCGCGTTCGATTTCTGTAAAAATAATATAATCTATTTGTTACTTTCGTTGTTAATTCCGTTGTATTACATTAAACTCTATAATAGAAATACCTTTTGCTTCTCCAACTCTTCTTGTACACTCTCTCAATTGTAAGCTTTCAAGTTTTGCCATACTTTGGTTTAGGAAGTTTTCAAATCTTTCAAATTTACGGTTTTCCTCAATTAAAACTGTTTTTTAAATTTTCATTCACAGTCTTTGAACTTTAGTTCTCTGTTTTTTTTTCCCTGTTTTCCTTGTTCATGCTCTTTAATGCGATTTTTTAACTCTTTTGACTACTAAACTAGCTTTCTTTCCAGGAATAAGTGCTTGTTTAAAGCCTAAAGCTTTTTTAGCTTTTCCAGCTTTGCATCCTTAGAATTTTACGCTAGAATTTTATTCAAATTAATTATTAAATTTTACTGAAAGAAGCATACCTATATGTTTATATGAATACAATTAAGTACCTGCCATCCGATATTGATCTGTTCTCTTGTTGACAAAAATGCCGCTTCCAGCTCATTCATCGCGTTTTCTACTTTACTATTACGAGAAAATAACAAACAAATTAAATTTATGGAAAGGGTAGTGATATTATGTACACATACTTACCGAAATACGACTATCACCACTTGATGGCATCGCGTTGGATTTCTGTAAAAGTAATATAACTTTTTTCATTACATTTGTATAAAAAATTATTACAATTAACAATCGCTAGTGTGTATGCGGGTACACGTGCAACTGTTTGTGGCCGGATGTCTTACCAATGATGACGGGAGGCTCCTTCCTGCGACTGAAGCCGTCGATGTCGCAACGGCTGCTGGTCCCGCCACCGTGGTCCCGCTCACACTTGTGTGTGGCATAATGCCTCCTCACACTTTTTATTGAATACCTTCTACGTCCATTAAACCCGCAAACACAACAAACCCATTTTATATGATGGGAAGGGTGGTGATTTTTTACATGCTTTGCTAGATCAGAAGATCTGTTGTATATCAGCCGGTTCGCTAATTTTTCACAAAAATGGCACACGAATGGCCTATTGTGGGAACATAAAAATGATTTGTTCCGCCATCGTTAATAAAATTTTATATTCGACACTTGTAAACTGAAATGGCTGTTGGCCAGGCTTGACTGCAATATATACGTAAGTGAGGATGGATCTTCCACGCGATAACGAAAATGAGATGAACAACCACTGTCTGCTACCAGATTGTGGTGAATTTGGGTTACCGTGGAATTCATCAAATAAACTCTTTAATAAGTAGTTTATCATGTTCAATATAACCTACAAATGTAATTAACAAAGTAATAATGTATAATTCACACGTGTTCTTTCTATGGGCTTTGCTATACTATCATGTAATACTATTAAGTGAGACAAAGGTGCGACGCGCCCTTCCAGCAGTTTCGCTCGTATTCATCGTAACGAGCACATAGCAACCGGTGCTACTTACTATCCTACAGAAAACGTAGGTACCTTTCTTATTTCAGTTAGGTTGTGCCGTCTACTACTCCTTTCCTTCGCATCGCACGTTCAAGGCTAGGGGGACTGCAACTTCGCCGGAACCGATTTCCCTGATTTATGGCGTTGTAGCAGGTTTTCCTCTGGACCTCACTTACTTTCTCTAAGTGTTTTTCAGACGTAGGTCTGGATGGGCCCTTAGGAGACCTAGAGTTTACTACGCTTCACGGAAATGCTATTGTGATGCTACATTTTATATGATTCATATCATGTAGTTGGTCACATTCATTATGATTTGGAACTGTATTTTCAATGATTGGAAAATTTATTCATTGATTTCCTTTATTTTCCGGATTATTAATAAATCAAGAGTGATTAAAATTTCAATCTTTTTTATATTTATTGGTGGTAATTTTACATTTTTTCCTCAACATTTTGTAGGATCAATAGTGTAAGCGAAAATACGCTGAATTCGAACGTAACGTGTTTGTCAAATTATCTACCATCTACACCACCAGCATAGTAAACAGGACGAAACGCATTATCGTCATACCTTCGCTNTACAATATATGTATACATGAGGCAGGACGGATTTTCCGTCTCCCTTTCCCGCGATAACGAAAATAAGGTGAACAATCACCGTCTGCTATCAGATTGTGGTGAATTGGGTTACCGTGGAATTCATCAAATAAACTCTTTAATAAGTAATTTATCATATTCAATATAACCTACAATGTAATTAACAAAGTAATAATGTATAGTTCGCACGTGTTTTCTCTATGGGCTTCGCAATACTGGGACAAAGACGCGACGCGCACGGTGGTCCCCTTCCAGCAATTTCGCTCGTATCCATCGTAACGAGCACATAGCAAGCGATGCTACTTACTATGCTACAGAAAACGTAAGTACCTTTCTTATCCCAATAAGGTTGTCGCGAAATTGTGCCGTCTACTACTCCTTTCCTTCGCATCGCACGTTGAAGGCTAGGGGGACTGCAACTTCGCCGGAACCGATTTCCCTGATTTATGGCGTTGTAGCAGGTTTTCCTCTGGACCTCAGTTACTTTCTCCAAGTGTTTTCCAGACGTAGGTCTGAGTGGGCCGTTAGGAAACCTAGAGTTTACTACGCTTCACGGAAATGCTATTGTGATGCTATATTTTATATGATTCATATCATGTAGTTGGTCACATTCATTATGATTTGGAACTGTATTTTCAATGATTGGAAAATTTATTCATTGATTTCCTTTATTTTCCGGATTATTAATAAATCAAGAGTGATTAAAATTTCAATCTTTTTTATATTTATTGGTGGTAATTTTACATTTTTTCCTCAACATTTTGTAGGATCAATAGTGTAAGCGAAAATACGCTGAATTTGAACGTAACGTGTTTGTCAAATTATCTACCATCTATACCACCAGCATAGTAAACAGGACGAAACGCATTATCGTCATACCTTCGCTGCAACAAAGAGTTCTGGGCTCTTTCCCAGAACTTGCCCATCCCACACTAGGCCATCCTATAGCAATATCTGTTCTAAGATATCCACTGATTGCTTTCCTATGCGCTGATCACTTTTCAGAGTCCTAGAAGGAACAGGTTTCTGATGATCACTATTGTGCACTTTCTGCGGAACTTCTCGACTAACTTTTCATTTTCATTTCCCAGTAATTTGTTTTCTCTTTTTTCTTTCCGTACTTCTGCTTCGTATTCTTTCCAGCGAATTTTGAGTTCTTGGATGTCGTTCTTTATAATGCATTCCTCTCACGAATAATTGGTTGCTTAAATTACAAAGTTCTTGCAGCTTTTCCAGCATAGCATCCGAGCGCTAAAATTTTCTTCCAAATAATTATTGTACGGAAGGAAGTATACCCTTGTATGAATATATGAATTTATCTGCCATCTGATATTATTCTGTTATCTTACTGATGGTAATTCTTTTTCAAAATTGTTCATCGCATCTTCTAATAAATGTGTTTGGTGAGATCAGATGATCTCTGATACACCACCTTTTCCCTCGCCGAGCGCAGGTTTCCGCGCACAGCGGGCAGGCGAACGCCTCCCGATGTGGAAACTTCAATGTTATTTGATGGCCCATTTCTCTGAGAAATACAAAATGCTCTTTATCTAAAGAAACTTTACTGAAATGGCTGTTAGCCGTGCTTACAATATATGTATACATGAGGCAGGACGGATTTTCCGTCTCCCTTTCCCGCGATAACGAAAATAAGGTGAACAATCACCGTCTGCTATCAGATTGTGGTGAATTGGGTTACCGTGGAATTCATCAAATAAACTCTTTAATAAGTAGTTTATCATATTCAATATAACCTACAATGTAATTAACAAAGTAATAATGTATAGTTCGCACGTGTTTTCTGTATGGGCTTTGCAATACTGGGACAAAGACGCGACGCGCACGGTGTCCCCTTCCAGCAATTTCGCTCGTATCCATCGTAACGAGCACATAGCAAGCGATGCTACTTACTGTCCTACAGAAAATGTGAGTACCTTTCTTATCCCAATTAGGTTGTCACGAAATTGTGCCGCCTACTACTCCTTGCCTTCGTAACGCGCTTTCTCCATGAGTGGGACTGCAGCTTCGCCGGGACCGATTTCCTTGATTTATGGCGTTGTAGCAGGGATTCCTCTGGACCTCACTTACTTTCTGTAAGTGTTTTCCAGTCGTAGGTCTGGGTGGGCCCTTAGGAATCCTAGAGTTTACGACGCTTCGCGGAAATGCTATGTGCCCGAATTACTAAAACTTCCACTACTATTACTAAACATTACTAAAACGTCTGGTCTCTACACCCTGATAACTGAACTTGGCCTTTACAATTCAATAGTGCAGTCACAATATATATTTGTATAATTGTTACAATATATGTTGTATATACATAATGAAACGTTATATTTCAAATTAATATCACGTGTCCATCGCCGTGTTTAAATCTTTGAATGCCGCGTCTCATGTAGGTCGGACTTTGTTAAACACGTCTCGTAGCTGCTTCACCATATGCATTCACGCCTGTTTCATGTTGTTCCCATTATTCGTTTTACTCTCCGCGTAAAATTCGGCGGGTAAACGTATCGTTTGACCGTATTATTAATTCCGCGAAGGTTGCTTGCAGATCTTCGCGATGTACTGCTCTTATGCCAAGGAGGACCGTTGGGAAGATTTCAGTCCAACGATCGTTGACGTGACACTTAAACGCGACCTTTAATTGACGGTGGAACTGTTCCACCATACCGTTCGCGTTGTGCGTAAATGTGTCCCGAGCATTACGCTGATTTGATCCGCTGGTCGGTCGTGACGCGCGCAAACGTGCCGAATCGAGATATCCATCCATCAATGAAAATTTTCGCGACCGTGAAAGGTTTGGGTCAACGCGTGTACCTGTCTACGCAAGTCAGGCAATATCTTTTCCCTTCTGAACTCGATAGCGAACCCACTAGATCGATATGCACATGCTCGAATCTAGTGGACGGCGGCAAAAAGTTCGCGGTAGGACTTATTACGTGCCTGCTTACATTTGCTCTCTGACACTGTACACAGCTTTGTGCCCATTTTCGACAACCGCGGTTGATCGACAGCCAGACGAAACGTTGCTTAACTAGCCTGACTGTTGTCCAATTTACTCCAGGATGCGCTATGCCATGTACTGATATAAACTTTGTCTGTGGTATGCAGGTGTTACAAACGGTCGATATATCGCAGTACACGACGGTGTCGCTGCCTACGGGTTTGATCTTCTTTAATTGCAACGAACCAGACGCGGTGATGAGTAGCTTTAATTCCTTATCTTGTGACTAGGCTAGTCGTTCGTAGTCTAGAGAGTTGTTTTGGAGTTGGATTGGTATGATATCTAATACTATCGTCAGATGTGCGATTTGATTGTACGATGTTGATAATCTGACAAACTTGTATTGGATGACTGGGGAATGTAGATTGTTGTATGTCGATGGGTTGCTACGAAACTTTTGGGTGCATTACGTGTTACGAAAAAACATTAACTGCCTTTTTTTTTTAATTAGTCAGGATGATTAGTTTTGTCTGCAGTAGCTTGGGCTTGGAGTGCCCTTTAATTTGATAGAATAAGATTATCTTCTTAAAAGTAGCATAAAGGAATTTAAGGGAACAAATCAGAACTTAATGGTCGAAAAAAATAAACTAACTTTTGAACTTGGTTTGACAAAAGAAGATCTGAAAAATATGAATAATTTATTAAATGCGGCTCAAAAAAGATATCTGTTCTGATGAAGCTACAAAACATTATATAGAAAAGTTAAAATCTCAATTGTCTACTAAGGAGGAACAAATTAAGGTATCTATTACACTTGAGGTAAGTTTTTAAAATTTTTTTATAATCTAATCTAATCTATTGAATGTATCTACTGTATTTTGTGTATTGTTTGTTTGTTTAGAGTACAACAGCGATCACGCCACCAGATCTCGTACTAAGCTTTCATATTTTGCCACCATCTCGTCTCTATTCTTCTTAAATTCTTCAATTTCACGCTCTTTCTCTCTTAGAATATGTTTTAACCTTTCATTCTATGTTTTTGTTTCTCAAGCACAAAGCTGTAATATTTTTTCTTTTTCTTTGTGCTCTTTATTGCATATTTTTAAGTGTTCAATAAACTTTTTTCAAGCATTTCTTTCGTGACTGTATTCTTATACAATTCATAAGGCTGCTGCAACTTTACAATCTCAGCATCCTTACATGCTTCCAAGTCAGTCATCGCGTTTTCTAGTTCAGTATTACAGATCTTACTACTAGGATAATAATAAGCCCGAATATAATAAAATATTTATTATATTTTTATTTAATTTGATTTATATGTCATTAATTACCATTAGCCGGCCAGCCATTTCATTTTAAGAATTTCTCATGAATTTTGTATTTGATTTAGGCCAGAGTTTTTTATTTCGTATTCCCGTAGTTCAACATTTCGTGTTAAACGTGCGATTACAGCGCCCCAACGGTGAAATACGCAATATGCGGTTTTCGAATTGATATTTCTCACAATCGATTTTAAAATAGGAATAATGGCAGAAGGAAACACATCGCGTCAGAAAAATCACTCAGATAAAAGTATCATTCAGAAATTCTTCTGTATCATTCAGATAAACATTTAAATCAATAGTTATTGGATTTGTGCTTGTGTTGTGTATTTTTAAGATGGAACGTGCAGATGGAACGGCTTCAACTCAAGGTAAGAGTTAACCAAATAGTCGTTACATGTAATATTCAACAATTAAAGAAATGATAGCATATAAATATTTAAACATATTATACTAAAAGTTTTGTTCTATTATTTAAGAACTTGCATAATTTTTTTGCTAAATAACTATTTATTATGCATCCAGACATTAAAATAATGATAATAATTATTGTATATTTAACGTAATTCTTTCTATTCTTTGTTACGTAACGAGCAAATAAAAGTTAAAAAATAAATCTTCTGTCATCTTTGTATCAAAGATAAATTTTCAACTTTTGACTTATTGAGTCTAATTTAAATCCAATCACTAGAGTTTCTTGCTTTCTATTTTCATAATTTTGAGTAAAGGTGCAAGAATTTAATTCAATTAACAAAATATAATTATCAGATAACATCCTGACAGTAATCTAATATTTTTTTGTGTATGTAATATGTCTTCATTGCAGATCTTTTTATTTCATCTTTTTATTTAAATTATAATACTAATCCAATATATAAGTTCATTAATGTCGGTAAGTCAGATCCCCGGCCGCGAAAACCCATAAGGTGCTAGGTCTATTCTACCTTATCTGTTGCTTAAATTCTATCTTATCACATATTGATAAGGGTAACATTATCAAAAGAGTTCTACCTTACGTACAATTGGTTATACAGCTTTTAAGAAAAAATTCAATAATTTAAGTAAAAACACAATCACAAACGATAATCGTACCTTGTTTGTGATATGAATATTATTTTTCCTTGCAATATTGATTATTTAGACGTTCACCTGTGAAATACAAAAATGTTCACACTTTATTTAAATACTTGGAGACTATAAACAATTCCTCGAAACAATTTACAAATTAAACACAATTTAATTTAGATTGATCGATTTTAAAGTAAGAGTTAACAAGAAAAAAGGAAGTAGGTTGTGACAATGTATGTATATAAAGAGAAACCAGTGATGACTGGCGAAAGGTGTCCATTCATCTTATGCCAACAAACACCATCGACAACTACTGTCAGTCGAGCAAAAGATGACCAAATTTTTCCAAAATATTCTCATTTCAAGCAAAATCGTTTTATATTGTTCGCGTGATCGATTCCCACATCCCTGAAATATACCAAAGGAACGTCTTACACTCGACACATATTTCTCAACAATCCAAACGTTTTATATCAAAGAAATATAGATATAAAAAATAACAATTTCATACATTTTTTTTTAAACGCAAAATTCCCACAATTTCATTGATCTTAAACTACACAAATACGAATGCTAATTTGTTGAACAGCGTAGATTATACTTTTTTGTTACATTTGCTACTTCTAGCATACTGTTTAAATGAAGTGACTTTTTGTCACACGGTTTGATTGTCCGATAAAACATTGGAAAACGCTTGAAGGAAGATGCGTAAATTCGCACAACTAACGCGACGATGCACCATGTCCGGAGTATTTCAATTTCGATATGCGTGCTGAATGAAGCACTTTTTATTGCGACTTTTATCGGATTTCTCTTTCGATTTAACCGCGTATCGTAAACCGGGATCAAATTCAAACTGAGGGAATGTCGTAGTCTTTGTTCATCGAGAGTATCCACACGATATTCAGACATATTTTTTTAAATTTCCACACGAGTAATAGCCATGTCAATCAAAGGTTGAAGTTGAACAAGAAGAACGCGTCTCATGTGATCGGATAAAGTAAAACACGTGTAACACAATTGAGTCAAAATTTGAAACAAAAGAAACACACACACACACACACATATATACAAAAAGAAAAACGTGATTCACAAAGTGAAAGAGATGCATTCTGTTTTTAGAAATTTCAATTCTTCAAAGATACACGTGCACAGAAATAAACGTTCTTGATTTATTTGCAAAGTAATAACGTTGGGCAACTTTGTAGCCAAATAAAGGAACTTCAACGGTTTGCAAGTGCGCGAACTTCCAGAAAGAAACGAAATAAAATATCTCTCCACGTGAACGTCGACGGATAAAATTTATTTAAACCTTCGAGTTTTATTAAACCATGAATACCATAAAAGAAAAAAAAAAAAAGAAGAACGTGATACTCATTCCTTCGTCAGAGAAAACATGTCAAAGAAATGAGGTACATGGTAACAAATAAACGTACCGAAAACACACTGAAACCCAAAGCAAGCTCTTTTGATGGATTGCCACGCGAGATTGATCTATTCCATCCACGGAGGGTCCGTCAAAATAAATGGAAAAGAAATTACAAGATTTAAATGAAAAACTTTCAAGGATACCAGCGAAAATCGATTCGTCGAAAGTAATTTCTATTTCGTGCTCCTTTCGAAGTCCTTTCGAACATCTAGTATTTTTTTATATTTGAGAGACTTGGAGAAAGAGCGATACAAATGAGATGAATGAACCTACACTTACAGTGATATAGAAATTATATATCGGACATATGGTGAGATTTTCGAAGAAAAAAGTAGATAACGAATGGAAAAGATACGGTACACTTCTACTTATCACTCTGAAAGGATGATAAACTTAGAAATTTATACCAAAATCTTCTAAATAAATACAGTTATGTTTCATACTTTTATCCCCTTTTTGAAAAAAATGTAGTTACCTGATTTCCCTGGAAAATTTTTCATTGCAAAATTGGACCACGTATTTTTCTTTTCTTTTAAATTAATTAAATTCGAAAATAATACACAGAATACACACAATACATGCCAGAGTATACTACTTATTGTACTAGATGGAACGTAATAGATGGAACGGATTTCTACTTATTTCTACTCATTTTTTTCTAATTGCGCTCACGAAAATGTGAATTTGAATGAAAATCTTAAATGCCTAAATTACTTGTTCCTCGTTCACTTCTAATTATTCTCTCCCCGTCGATTCTCTTACGTCGAGAATTATGGAAATCTATTAAGAAGAAAGTCGATAAATTGCAACAGTGCTGTCGATAGTCAGAAATGAACGAGAGGAACGAAACACGACAGCGTGGCTGCGTCGTCTTTTGATGGATCGTCTGATTGGCGATCCAGTCGATCAGATGAAGAGTGAAAAAGGCCGCCAAGGCTAACTCTGAAGGGGGGGGGGGGGAGGAAGATAGAAAGAGAAGGCGTGCACTTTGAAACGCCTGTCTCCGGGGGGGTTACAGGTGGTTGCTCCTGGAAGAAAGAGCCGAGAGAAAGGAACACGTCGAAGGAGGTGGATGAATGAAAACGACGGTGAAAAGTAGGGACGGATAGGAAATTGTACACTGCGCGCAATTTGATTACGCGAGATTTATTCGGCCTAATTAGAATAATAAAGTGCGGTACGCTCGTACATAAACTCACGGTACGTTTTCTCTCATTGATCGTTTATATTACAACCGAGCGAGTTCCCTGGTGCAAAACGTAAGGGAAATTGCCGTGCAACGTGCGATAGAGATCGAGTAGCGTGATACCAAGTATCTCTCGAACTGCTAATTGCAGAACAATTCTCGAACAATCATCGGCCGATACTCGTGTCAAGCGTCCGCTAAACAACAGCCGTAGTAGATCTGCTCGAATCAATTTGACATCTTATCGACGGGACGCGTGGAACGTGAAATCACGATGCAAGACGATCTAAACGAACCCGCGTGAGCCAAATGCGAGAACGATCGATCAATTAGATGATTAAAACTGACGTTCTCGATCGAACTCGTGGAGATTCGAGAGGAGAGGAAATATTTGATTCATATAAGCTCGATTGATACGAACGTATGCCACTTGGTAGATTCCCTGCTGGATTTAAAAAGAAAAAGAAAAATATGTGCCATCCTTGAGAGAACTGCGAGCAATTTTTTTTAAAAATTAATCACAACGACAACAGGATAGAGAAACATCCATCGAAAGGAGAAGGAAAAAAGACACGGAATGGAAGCAGAGAGGGAAAAAAAATATTTCTTGCCGGTTGAGAGAAATGAAGATACCAGCGAACGGAGGAACGAGACGGCGTGATCGGGCCGACGAATTTGAATTGTGCTGGGCTAGCACGAGGAACCATCCGCCGGGGATGCCGGAGCTTAACCGCGCGCGCCACCCCGTAGATAAGAGCAGCGTTCGATGGTGGGATGCAGAGTGGGTGGGCAGCGAGGGGTGAATCGAGCTTTTGCAAGCTCGTGGCGCCACTTGCGTGGCCTCCCCAACGTCGAAAAGGGGGTGAGAGGTTCGAGGGGTTGGGAGGGGGAGGGGGGAGGGGGGTTGGTTGCAAGCCTCGATTCTAGGCTTCAGTCAGTCGTGCGAGGAGCGAGACTCGCTAGGGTCGAAGGCTCGTTGCGACCACGCTGGTCACAACATCCCGGCAGACTGTTCCCTCGGGACAGGCTCCACCTGTTTATCATTCGGTCGCGTAAACCACCAAGAACAGCACACCGTGTGAAACGAAAACGTGGTGAGAAATGTTGCCAACGTTGTTCAGGAGAGAGAACCGTGGCCCGATCGAACGATACACGAGATAATCGTCGTTGAAAAGGGGTGGTTGAGTGCCGGCAGCCTAACCAGTGATTTCGGCGTGATTAGCAGCTTAATTGATCAGGTGTGGTATATATCGAACACTTAACTGTGATATGCTCTTTCTCTCCCCCTCTCTCTCTCTCTCTCTCTCTCTGCCTGTCTCTCTCTGCATGTATGTAATACATGATCTGTTAACTAGCACGAATCCTTCTTCCCGCATCTCTCTCTTTCTCTCTCTCTCTCTCGTTATTTCTTGTTCACGTTGCTCTTCCCCGCTTTCTCTTTTGGTATCGATGGCCTCCTTCTGTGTGTCTTTCTGTAACAATTTTTTCTCTCTTTCTCTGCATCCTCGTCCCTCTCGTTTTACTCGTTGCTCAACCCGTTCAACCCTCTGTCTACACTAGCTACCTTGCCTCCTCTTTTTTACCTCCCTCCCTTCTCTCTGACCTTCCCTATCTTCCGGCCTCTCGGCTGATTAACCGTGAAATGGGGTGATTACAGAACGCGACGACACGCGCACATACGTAAATGCGCATACATTGTAACGGCAGCGGGCGGAAAGAGGGGGAGGGAGTGCAACGTGACCTCGTGGCGAATATTCTTCTTTTCGTGCGCGAGTCGGTCGGTAAGAGTGCCCCCGATGAGGGTTGCTGTTCCTCTCTCGTTTTTTTTTTTTTTCTTCGTCTTCTTCTTTCTCGCCAGTGGGACGACACTTCGGGATGACTCTCCGCTCGGGTCACTACTTCTATCGAGTGATCAAGTTTTTCTCCCCTTTTTTTTTTCTGCTTTCTTTAACACGATACTCACACTCGTATGAATATTCCACGGACAAAGTTACACGTCGTTGTTGCAACTTTCAGTGCAAGTTCCCTTTTTTATATTGAAAACTTCGTTCGCGTTGCTTGTTCGAGTGAATTTTCCCGACCTATCGTTGCGCGCACAGAGTACTTTCTTTTTTTTTTTTTCTTCTTCTTCTTTATTCCTTTTCGACGATGAAGACGCGCGGATGTCTAACAGATGTTCGCGCGTCTCGAAAACTCGGCGAAAGACGTTGAGCGTCTCTGAATTTTCGTAGATACGCGGAGATGCAGTTCAAATGACGAGAACTGCACGAGAGACTCTAAATTTAGATGAAAGTTAGAGGAATTTCCAAGAAAAAAAATTGTACCCTGTCATGCGAGAATCGAGTATAACTGCCTCCCAGGCGCATGAAGGCCGTTGTGAACGTAACGATTCCTAAAAGTGAAGTTCAAGGTAAACATTAATAAGGTTAACGTATGTATTCGTTCGGTACTTGAAGATAACGATACGCTTCGAGACGGAAGATTTTTCCCGCACTTCAAGTGCTTTCTCTACATTATGAACGTTGCTGTATATGCAAATGAAAAGTTGACGTTGCACAAAAAAAAGTCACTGACATAATTGTTCCACCATGTGACAATTATTTCAACTTAATGAAACGTGCCAAAGTATACATAAAATTCGCGTGATTAATTAATTCGCGCAATGATTTCCCTCAAGAACGAGTGATAAATAAAAAGAATGAAGATTTTACAATGATCGTACGAAAATAACAATCAGCAAATAATAAAGTTTAGAATCGAAATTTATACGTAACTGAGTAAAACCAAGTGAAAGAAGGGGCAGGCATATTGAATAGAATTTACTCTTCGTTCGGTAGGCCGCGTTCTTAATCAACCCTTTTCCCAGATTTCTTCCATCTTGGTAGTTTCATTTCCATCTTGGCACCGTTCAAAATCTCTTCTATCTCGATCAATGAACTTGGTAACCGAGATCCGAAAGGTAAGCACACGTCTTGCGGAATAGCGGAGTTTACGGCCCAGTCAGAGCGAATAGGATCGATATTTAAGGGGGAAAAAAGTAGGAGCGGACGCGTGAATTTCTGGTTTTAAAGCAGACATGTATATCACGCTTTGTCTCTTTCTTTCTTTCTTTCTTTCTCCTTTTTTCCTTTCTTTTCCAATGACGACGAAGCGAAGGGTATACTTCACCTTCAAATTAAATTCGGAGCGTTCGTTTCGAGGATTGATCCCGAACATTCTGCTCGCGAGGCATATTTTACTCGTCGAAACACGCTGGTGCGAGCGAAAGCGTTGGAATTCGCTGTTTACACCTCTTTTGCCATTCGTTTCGTCAGAAAGTCAAAGCATCCATTGAATAAAGAAAATGCATGCCGCAAGCGCGGTTTTGACGAAACTTGAATAAACAAATCTACAGAGTGCGTGTGCACGAAATTTATTAAAACATAAAATTTCCAAGCAAATATTTACTCAACTCTTACGCAAATATACATACACGCGGCTGAATATTTCTTTGAGCCAATCATTTTTTTTCACGTACGAATTTCAATCGTGTTGCAATATTTTGTTGCAATCGCAATTCTTGGAATTAATCGCTCTCGTACCACCACGTAGTATAAAACTGACCTACTATTTAAAATTATCCCTTGTCTCTTCGGCCAGCGGCCATTACTTAAAGCGACACAATTGCGACTTAAGGAGCGTCATATAGAACGTGCATACGTATATCTCACATACGTTTCCAAAATTTCCTCTTTCCTTTTTAAAGCGTTAAAGTGAAACGTAAATCTGAAACGATGGAACCGCGATTTAGAAAACATTATTCTCTACACCAATTCTACGAAACAAACACGTGCATGTGCAAAAGAAACGTTCTCAAAATTCTCTCTACTCTTAATCCTCTGTAACACGTGGAACGCTATGTGATTATTGAACTGCGAGTGTTTGTAATGTTATATTTTTATAAATTAAAGAGATCGGTCCTGAATGAAAGTTTGTTTCGTCTGGAACTTGTTAAAAATTATAACAAACGCTCTGCTTTGGATATTTCACATATTTTCGTATATTACGTGCATGTTGTAGATCCTCGAAATCCTTAAAATTCTCTCGTCCGCTATCCGCCAATTATTAATTCTCAGATTTTAAATTGTAGATTTAACAACTATTCCAAAGAGAAAATAAATGAAAGTAAATAGCTGAATATTTAACAAAGTTAACAAAGTTCACGATTTCCTCCTGTTGCAAACTAGCAAAATTGATTCCAGTTACAAAGAGTTCAATCACCATCGACAACATACGAGACTCGCGTGATTACAAGTCGTCTGGGCCAGTCATCGACGAGTAACACGTCGCATCCGGACACGGCATTAGCCGTACGCAGCTCGTAATAACGTTTGTTCGAATTAAAGCTCGATTTAAATGCAAAACAACCGGCGAACATAGACGACGGGGTGATGAACGCCGCGCGGTATTTCTAGTGCGCCGATTAAATTTCAAGCCCGATCGGGCGTGGCATAAAGCCGATTCGTGATTTGAAAACCACTTTTTGTTTTCGCCTGTCTGCCCCGTGTACACTCGTCAGATGGATCGGCTGAACGTTTGAGGCTCAAGGGTCGTTTGAACTCGATATCTCGTCAGCACGAGTACGTCGCTGTCGAGCCACGACCTAAATGATTTTAAAAAGAAGAAAATCCGCCTCGTCCCTCCCGATGGGAGAGAAAGAGAGAGAGAGAGAGATCAGCGTATGACGTCTCGCGCAGCTGGTTCACGTGCACGAGCAATTCACAAAAGAAGAGAAATGCAAGGCCGCGCCTCGTGCCGTCCTGGAAATTGCGAAATATCGACGAAAAAAAACACAACCCGGCCTTCGTCCTACGCTCCATGCGAATTTTCCCTTCGCCCGGCCGTCGTCTCTAATTGTTTGATTAACACAATCGATGCTTCCGCGTACCAATCGTGCGTTTCGCCGCGCCACCCGAAAGTGAATGTGGAAGGGGATGGAGGAGAGGATTCAAGGATATTTCCACATCGCGTTTCAACGATTTTCACGCGCCGTTGATCAGGTTCAACATACATCCGAGTATACAAACAGGGAGATTAAAATCTGATTTTAAACGAGTGTATAATATAAATATCGCTGGCAGTTGCCGGGATTGATAAAAATGTGACCGACGAAGACCTACGGGATGTGAATTACGTTGTGAATACAAATCAAACAGGCTGTCATTTATTTTGATATATTGATAAAATACAACACCGGGAGTGGGATAAATTTTTTATTACGAGTCACGGGGAGGTGTTAACCCTTTTGGATGACGAGCGAACTCGTCGTTAGAAAATTTCCCAGACGTTCACCAGGAGATCCAGAATCTGAAACTGAAAAGTTCTACACGCTCGTTTTACACGGTGATGTTGGCCCGTCGTTAATCCGATTAAAGGGTTCAGCATCCAAATACGAATGAAATCCGATCGTGAAATTCGACGAATTCGCAGAGGGACTAGAAGGTACTTCTAACAAACATCTCTGCGAGCATCGAAAGAGAAAAGGGTGAACGTTACCCCGATAGAGAATGATTGCTTTCGGCAAACGCTTTTCCCCTGAAGCGTGATACGTCGATAAAAGAAAGCAAGGAAAGAAAAAGAGAGAGAGAGACAGAGAGGGAGAGGGAGAGAAATAAGTAAGAACAACGAAAGAGCGGAAAGAACATAAAAGTTGTGATTCCCGCACGAAAATATATCTGTGACGAATGTGTCGAGCACACATAGTACAAAGCAGCGCAAACGATATTATCCGTACACCCTTTGTTAAGCCAGCTGCGCCCGTTTCGTGCATACACGTATAACTTCGTATACGTGAGTACAGCTGGTACAAGGTTGCACACCTAAAACGTGCTGCGCGTCACAAGCTCCCGATCTGCCACACTACGTTTTAATTGTACATCTCTTTCCTGTACGTACACACACACACGTATGTATTTTTTTTTAATGCATTTGACATATAAACAACGTAGACGTGTGGACGTCGGGACTGAGTGGCGGTGCTTGAAGAATTGTTTCACGATCAACTTCATCACGATCCCGAAGCATCCACGTGATACGTGACCTACACTCGAATCGATGACGAACTTAAAACTTCAAATCCTGGATTTCACCCGCGATCCAAGCGGATTCAACCTTCGCGAACTTTGATCTGTTAGTCCGTCATGAATATCCACGTGCATTATTATCGTCTCAAGGATACACTGTTGTGTAAATCAAAAATTAATACGCTTTAGAGAACGTTAGCTTCGTCGACGTTGCGACTGTTTAACGGAGCATTTCAGTTTTCTTCTTCTTCTTCTTCTATTTTTTCTTTAATGTCACATCGACAGCGAGGTCATTAGCGCCGACGTTGCCATTAGTTTATGTTTTTGAGGCATTTTAGTACTCTTTGTATGTCATTTTGAGAAGTCAGATTTACGTTTATGTTGCGTTTGTCCGTATTTCTCTCTTTGGATTTCTGTGGTGTGGCATTCGTGCAGTATGTGGGTTATTGTTAGTGGATGGTTATTGCAATGAGTGCAGGTGGGTGGTGAAGTAGTTTGTAGGTGAAGTCAGTTTTCTGTTTTGGGTAGAAAGGCGAGACTTTTTCTTTTTTAAAGAGAAGATTATGACAAGTGCGTCGGGTGGAAAAGTAGGTTATCAAATTCAATGTCAGCCAAGCCTTAAAAGATTCGTAATTAGATGGAAGCGCGGAAGCCAAGGAAGTGGTTCGCCTACCAAATTAGCGATCTCTCGTCAAAAAAAAAAAAAAAAGGAAAAGGAAAAGGAAAAAAAGAAAAGAACGCGCTCGTTGCAATGGTACAATGCGAACTCGAATTCTCGATAATTCGATTTCGACTCGCGGGAAAAGTAATAACGCCGCCACTAGCCACTCTCGCTTAATTTGGTTCACTCTTCGCGGCTTTTAAACGCGAACTTGCAGGAATAATGCCTTCGAGGCGGGAAGGAGGTTCGGGGACGCGTCGAACTTTTAAATAAAAGCGGCAGGAACTTGCCGGGTGCCAATATGCGGAAAATTTTAATAACCCAAACGGTAAGATCCTGGTAATATCGACGTTATAGACGTACGGACAAGTAAAGCCGCCGATATTTTCCGAAGCGTGCGGGGAATTTTCATTTCTGGGAAACGAGCTGCTGCTGTTTTATTTTACTTTATATTTTTCGTCTTTGTCTCTTTTATTTTCGAACTCCTCTCCCTCACTTCTTTTTCGACGAACGCTGCCCACCTGCTGCTAATCAATATAATACCTCGCAGCGCTGGCACGTGCAGAAAAATTCATACAAATTCACGCCCGCCACTATTTGCGCGCGTATTGTTTGCAACAATCGATCGTATCTTTCCCGCATGAAAATCGCAGACCGGTATCGTCCGATCTTCGTTTTGTTGTCCCTCAACGAGTGAAATGGAGAAGAAAGAAAAAAAAAAAAAAAAAGAAGGAAACGTAGGTACGAATTTTACACGTAACCAAGATATATAAATCTTGCATAGATCAAAGCGAAAAAAGTTATACACCGTGGAAACAGAGACTGCAAATAACTAAGGTCACGAAATGGCATTTCTGAGTACACGTGGATTTCCGTTTAAACGCACTACGTTCCATTGAAAGTCAAAAAACACTTTTCTACGTGCATGGTATTTGTACAACACTGCCATTTCAGTTGGCACGTGACGCAACTGTTTGCCCACGCTGCAGGTTACAGTGTAACACTTGTAACCTCTTGCAAAAAAAAGAAAAAAAAAAATGGAATAGAAAAAAAGAACCTGTCGTCTGTGTTTGTTCTTTAAAAAGGAGCGATGAGAGAGAAAAGAAGATAAGATTGAGAAAAAGAGCAAGAAATTAAGAATTTTCATCACTGCCCCCAGCAAGATAGAATTATAACGTGGCTTTGGTATCAAACTACGATAAATATATTCAACAATTACTTTGAATAAACGTATGTCACATAATACATCGCAAATCGCAATGCACTCTCTGCAACGTTATATCGAATGAAATTATAATAAATATATTGAAATATCTAACTGAAAATTAAATTCTACTACTGTTCTGTACATATATTTTTTCCATCTTCACCGTCTAATCTAAAATCCATTTGAAAACCAGACGAAACATTCTCAACCTGCAATACATTCAATCCGATTTCAACCACCCTGACATTCGCGCCGTTCATACACCTCTGAACATTACACCTCATACTCTTCATTCGAAACTTCCTTGTTCGCCAAATAAATTCGCATTTTACTTTTCACACGCACATACATACATACATCGAGCAAAATTGGAAGCGTTTAGCGGTTAAAAGGCGGAAGATTAAAAAAAAAAACGTTAGAAAGAACGTTATCATCGCGAGAGAACGAGAGGGAGAGAGAAGCTATTTCCACGAGCATGAATTGCTCGTTAAACGCTGATGCAGTGCATGTATCATAGCCTGGTGTATGCATTTCCTATGCATATGGTGCACGTGTGACACACATACGCCGGCGTTAATGGCCGTCGTCCATTCGTTTACGAAAGTAGAATCAGGAAACGTCCGATATCGTTGCCGAGCATGCAGAGAGATCGAGTGTTTACTAAATGCCAGATACACGGCCTCAATCACCTGCTAGTCCAGAAACGTCTACTGTCGAACGTAAATCCGCATTTCCCAGGGACTATAAGCGATATCGAGCCAAGCTACCTTCCCGCGGTAAACTTGGCCTAGTAACTTGGCACAGTAATTCGTACAACGTTTCTCTTTCCATCGTATCCACCTGGAAAATTAAACGACGTGCAAATAATAGATGTGTAAAAATCCGCGGCAATCTCGGAGTTTACAGAGGCTCTGTTTCGATCGTGTATCGCTACGTTTGGTATTCAAATGAAATCGGGATTTGCTTTCGTTCGACGAACAAACATCTCGATTGTAAATTTGTTCGATTTGTTGCACCTTTTTTTGTTTTGAGATTATTTTCTAGTATTTCGTAGTAAAATACGTTTATCTCGGTAAAGAACGTGTAGGATTTATCGGATTGGATTAAGGAACCAGATAATTTGCTAGAAACCACGTGTATCTAAGGTTAAAATGACTTAAGATCTCGTCAAAGAATATTCGTTCAATTTTCTTAAACGAAGAAAAGTACGATGAAAATTACATGAGAAAACACGATTGAAGACAATTTCACGACGTGCAAAATTACCATTAAGAAAATATCCGTAACAATTTCGTTCCGAGAATTTTCCATTCTTGGAATTGATAACTCCTACAAATTAGTTCGTCGCGTGAAAAATTCCTGAAATCATATGTACATACCATTAAAAAGTTTTATGTGAAGAGAAGGACATTTCATATTCACCAATCTAATATCGAACTTAGAGAGAAAGAGAGAGAGAGAGAGAGTTCTTTGACGGTATAAGAAACTTCACTGATTAGAATCAGAAAGATGCGACGGTGTGATCGACTGATTCTTTTCCCTCGTAAAGAAGAAGTTCGCCTTTTATTGCATACTCGTTCGTGAATACTGATTAGAATATTACCACCCCGTGAAAGTAGTTTCCCCGTCAAAAGGTGGGTGTTTCCCTCCGCAGCGGGAAAATTACACATTCCTGATTATTATTCTTGTTGCGTGCCTATCGTCCAACCGTGTCCGATGGAATCGTTAACTACCGACTCTCGAAAAGTCATAAAACAACGGTTGCGTTCAAAGAGGGGGGCGAGTAAATCAAAGTCCAAGTGCAAGTTGGACGTTCCACGTGTTTACAACGCTGCGTCAGCCGCCGTAGTTGCGAAGAAAATCGATCGAGATTCGGGATAACTTTTATTGCGCTCCACTTTGTTCCCCGGCTGTCACAAGGGAAGAACGTGAATAACCAGCTTGCACGAAACTGCCGGGAGCTTCACTTCCGTGAACTTTCGTGAACTTAACGGGGGTACGCGAACATTGTTCATCCTGTTTCGTAGCCCCACCGGGTATTAACCCATTAACACCTCCGGCCTGCATTAACTTCGGTTGCCAAGTATAATTGGCATCATATATATCGTAGTCCGTTTCATCCGTTCACTGCATCGGGCAAGCAGAAATTTAGTGCATCGATTAACCGACCAATTACCACACTGATGATCTTACATTGTACCATAGGGGGAAACGACGGATGGTCATTGCGTTTCGTTTAACGAAATGACGAATAAATTCTAACTAATATATACAACGGCTTACGAAAATGTCTGAACGCTCATCGTAAAAGTTTGTAGCACCCTTTGGGTTTTGAACGAAAAACTTCTTTTCTGTGAAAAAGGATATTTCTGATCTTTAAATATAATTAATTGAAATGAAAAGAAAGTTACAAAGAAATAATGTTATAGATAAAATATTCATTTGCTAGAAGTTTTACATGCTTCAAATTTTTGAGCAGGATGTATATAAAATTTTTATAAATGTTTGACGCGTTCGTCGAAAAGTTAACTCTTCGTATAGAATATTATAAAGATTTCTTTCCGTAGGTATAAGTTTCACTAGATTTTTTAAAATTTTGGAACCGTAAAAATATTATTCTTGATGAGAAATGAATATGAGAGTGATTGAAAGATACGTTTGCTAAAAAAAAAAAAAAAAGGAGAAGAAAGTGTAAAATAATGCTCATTTACGTAAGTAATATCGACCAGACGAAAACTCCGCAAATTTAATTCAAATTTTTCCAAATCAACTTCCCAGCGAGGTTAATCTTATATTCAAATGAGAACCACTTCGTGGATTCCTCGAACTCAATTCAGATCAAATCAGATCATAAACGTAAAAGCTTTCAAAGAGATACACACGTGGGTATCTACGCAAGTATATATGTACCTATATGGTTGCTATATAGTCTCATGGTCTAGAAGAATTCTTGATACCATCAAATCTAGTCATATCCACGATTTTGTAAAATAAAATTTCCCTTTAATTCATTTATTAATTCATAACATGTACAAATTCGTACAAGTATAATTGTAACAAACAAGAGATAGTATATCGCGTATAAAAGAGATACTCTTGTATTTAAATATCTCTTCTCTTTTATATTATGCAAGTCTTTTAATAGATTATGTGGTTCAACCGCGGTTCACGAATTTTTATGAAGAAAGACTTTCGAATGAAACTGAAATAATAAACCACGCATTCTTATATTCACTATAAAATATTATAATCACAACGTGATACTATAACAACAAAAA